AAATGGAAAGAGAAATAATATATACAATTAACATACAATGACACAATATATGTAAAAACTTTGTAAGAGACGAAAGTCGTGCAAATAAAACTATTTATTATTATTATTTATCAAAAAGAAATTCTAAAAATAGTCAGATGTCTTGATTAATGTTTTTTCAGTAAAAAAATTTCGCATATTTAAATTTTATAGTATTAATTTATAAAAAAATAGTTTATAAACACTACAAGCTATGTCTTAAATCAAATCAATATTTTCTTAATTATTTCTATCCCAAAAGTACTGGCATCTCGAGTCTCAAAACCTAAATCAAAAATTACATTAGTATATTTAAAAAAAAAAAATTAATTAATAAATAAATTAATAAATACCTGTAAATTAGGATCATAATGAGCAGAAACTTTGTCAGTTTTAATACTAAAAGGCACGAAGAGATCAACAAGGTAGTGGAATTTATCAACATTAACAACAACCCTCTCCTGGTTGACTTGGACCTTGATGTCTTTATCATCGACCACCTTGTTAGGAAGCCTGAAGTACCCGATACTCTTCAACATCTGTCCCTCCTTGGGTTCCCTCAGCAGCACATAGGAATCCTGGTTAACCGCAGCGTCTTTAACCCCAGACTTAATTTCTTGAATCAGCGGCTTGCGTTCCTGGAGCAGCTCCTTGGGTTTCTTGGGCTTGCGCTTCTCCACCCGGTGCTCGTGGAGTGTTCCGTTGACCTTGCGGTTCTTGAGGATAACAAAGTTATCAGCACTGAGGACCTTGTCGTACTTGGCCTCGATCGCGGACAGAATGGTCCAGATGGTGAACTGCATGAAGTGGTACTTGCTCTCGCACTTCTGGAAGTACTCGCTGTTGATGGCAATGTCGTAGGTCGGGCACTTGGTCCCGTCTTTCGCGGACTCGAACCTCTCGTAGCCGACGCTCATGGGAATCGACCAAGACGGAGGTTCTTCTTTCAGCATGTTCTCGAACTCAATATCTGTCAAGTCCTCGGGGGCAGGAACTTCCTTAGTGTGACACAAGTTTATAAATACCTTTTCATTTTTGTCAGTTTTAGCCTTGATGCAGACTCCTGGAGTCGGCTTAAAGGTCACTGATGCTGGAGATTCGAAACTTTTTAAGAGACTGTTTAAATCTTCGTCTTGTTGCTTGTTCTCTGGTAGCAATAAATTGTTCGTTATTATTGACTCGTCGATTTCCAGTACGTTCGACATTTTTATTTTACTTTGGTTCTGGCGTTTGGTTTTTTTTTTTTTTTTTTTTTATATTAGTGAAGTTGTCGATATACTTGTTTGTTCAATACTCGTGTGTTTTTATTAAGTTTTATAGGTTATATTATTTATTTTTTTAAACAGTGTGTGTTTAATTTCAATTGATAAAGGTTATGTTATGATTTTAAAATTTCACTGCTTCGCCATCTAGATAATGAATAAAGTTGCCCCGCTAGTAAGTCGCCGACGGGAATCTTGTGTGATGCACCCAGTGCATCCAACAGGTGGCGCTACCTGTTATTAGAGCGCGAATT